CCTCATCTCTAAATGTTAGAATGTTCTTGGTCTCAGTTTGTGGAACTCCTCTCCATCTACACTCTTTAGGTAGTCTTATCCATCACATGGCTTTAATTTCCATCCACTCGCTAACCTCTCCCTAATTTCTATCTCCAGTCTACCCTGTTCCCAAGTTCCAGACTCATTTGTTGCCTACTTGACATTTGCCCCTAAATGTCTAGTGAGTATCTCAAACATGCCACAAACCAAACTCTTGATATCCCCTCCACAGCTAAGCCTGTTGCTCCCACATTGGTCCACTTCTCCTTACCTCCATCAATCATAACTCTATCCCTCTAGGCCAAAAATCTTGGTGTTAATTTTGGCTCCTTTCTTTCTCAGAGTCTCTGTCTAATCTCTTATCAAGTTCTGTTGGTTCTAACTTCAAATTGTGTCTACTTAGCTAATAAATTCTCACTACCTGTACTGTTATGATCCTGGATTATTGCAATAACCTCCCAAATGATCTCCCTGCTGCTAACCTTGTCTATTCTCAGCCCAGCAGCCAGAGGGATCCAGTTAAAATTAGTCATATCATCATGTCCCTCTTTTGCTCAGAGCCTTCCAGTGCTTCTCAGGTCATTCAGAGTGATAGCCAAAGTTTTTACAGTTGGCTTCAAGGTCCTGTGTGATCCTTAGGCCCTTTGTCACAAACTGTGTATTCTAACTTTAAACTTGGCTCTGACCATTTGTCAGGTTTCCCATGAGCAGATTAGATGTCATACATGAAAACAGGCTATCATGGTAGGCCACTTACAACCTCAGGAAGGTATAAAAAGCGTGCACAAGAACTCAAGAAGTGTGACATTTTACAGCTATTTAATGTAGGAGGCAAACACCATGTGTGCTGTTCTTTTGCAGCCCTGAGATGAGCTCTGACCAATGGGAGGGAAAAAGAACTCCCTTTGGGTGGAGTGCCACCTCCCCAACCAGACTTTCTGAGACTTACTTTCCCTTTCTCAGACTGGTAAACCCTGCTTACTGCAAAGTGTCATGAGAATAAAATAAAGTATGAAAAGTGTTTAAAGTCTTGAGTCACCAAGGAGAGATTAAATATATTCTATTTAAGAAATCCGTGGACTATATATGTATGAATATGTGTATACCTATGTTTATTTGCATGCACATACA